TGTGAGGTTTGAATATATGGACTCTACTCTATCTCCCATGTGATTTTTTTCTTCTAATTTTATTTTGTTGAGAATATAGATAATAATCACTCACCAACAGTTTCTACGTGTGCACTTTGGTGATATTTATTACATTCTTCAAGCTCATTTCTACTGCCAATTTGATCCTAGATAGACCCATGCAATTCTATAGTTATAATCAAATTGACAATAGTCCAATCAGGAATATTGGTGGCATAGCGGCTGTGCCTTGGGGTGCTACCATTCCAATAGTTCGAAACCACCAGCAGCTCTGCGAAAGATGGAGTTTCTAGACCCCAAAACAGCTACAGTCATGGAAGCTCACAGGGCAGCTCTAGCCTATGAGTTGGCATCGATGCAATTACAGTGAGTGAGACTAGTCTTAAAATAGCGTTCTTTATTTCATTTGAATAAAAAAGTCCATTACAGGAAAGTTCTGCTTACGACTGACTTTGTCCATCCATTCTGACTTTTCTCACCTTAATGTCAGATATTTCCCACATTAAATGTGACAATTCCTAAAAAGAATCTTTTGAGAAAAGAGTATAAAGAAGACAGCTTGTTAGCCTGAGTTCAGCCACCCCATCTCTACTCCTAATCTGAAAGCAAACATTTCCACGAGGGCATATGCAAAGGGGCTTCAAGATGCTCGTGAGAAAGTGGAATACGGTGTCACAGAATGTCTCCATGCAGCCTCCTGTGTCCGCATGCTCTCGCAGACTGCTAACTGTTAGGGAAGGGACTGCATCTTTGGGGGAGAATACATGACAGCAGTCACCATTTTTTCATCTGAGATAACGTTCCTCATTTTAAAGAAAAAGAATACCTTACTCTCATCTAAAACTATGTATCTTTTAAAAGCAACTGGGCCATGGACATATTTCTTACTTTTTTTTTTAAGACATAGCATCGGAGGATGTTGGGGGGTTTCCTGGGCTTATTTACATAAATGATCATTAGAAGAAGAAGCATGGATTCATTGGCCAGGTGTCTGCCCTACAGACTATGTAACTGGTGTGTGGAATAAGTGCGTCTCTGAGAAGGAAAGGACTGATCTCCCACTATTAGGACGGGTTCTTCTCTGGCACTTGAATGAACTCCAGAGTAGGTCCTGTGAGTAGGCTTTTGTTTTGGTTTTTTTACCGATCCCTTTCTCTTCTCTCTCAAATAGCGATAATAAGGTACTTCGATCCTTTCAAATCCCCCAATACAAATCACATTTCAGTCATGAGAATTTCTAAAACCCCAGTATGCGTGCGCCAGCGCTCCCTCAAAGTGACCCTGGAGCACAGATTAGAACGTCCCCGTACTTTCCAAGGTCGTATGAAAATCTTTCCAGAACCATCTTACTACATCTTTCCAAGGTCATAAATCTTTCCAGAAGCATCTTACTACGTCTTTCTCCAGCAGATCGTCTGTTGTATTCAAACTGCTGACCTTTCCTTTAGCCGCCGAATAAAAGGAAAGATTTTAAAATGCATTGTAATGATGATGTACACCTCTTCTTAATAGAGCTAAACTATTGAAATGTCGAATACATGAATTATATGCCAATAAAACTGTTAAAACTGAAATAAGATACATTCTTAAAAGCCTTTCTAGTCATATGAAACAACCAAAAATTCAGAAATGTATTTGCAATCAGAACCACTGCCCAGGTCAGGGCTGTTTCATCCCTGCTGCCTGTGGTAGGCAAGCAAGACGTTCATTTTCCTTTTTGTTGGCTGCTTGCTCTCGTCTTTGTCACCCCGTTCTCTAAGTTGCTTCGGCCGCTCCACGGCTAAGGTGGAGAGGCAAAAGAAAGCCCGAGTAAGCAGCAGGAAAAACTAATTCAACAGGCAGTGTGGTGAACTGCTTTTATTTTCTCCATTTAAAGAAGATGTCAGTCTCCTAGGCGACCACAAGGAGGTGCGTTTGTAAAACAACAGGGATTTATTGTCCCACAGCTCTGGAGGGTCTAAGTGTAAATTCAGGGCTCTGCTGGCACTCCGGTCTTGTCCAGCTCAGCGCTGGCAGCCCAGGGTGTCTCTGGTACTCCTTGGCTTGTGGAGGGACCCTCACAGGAGGGTCTGTGCTCAGACGTGATGCTGACTTTGCATCTGTTCTCCCTTTCTGTGATATTCTACTCTGAAAGGATTAGGAGTAAGACCTACCTTACTCCCTATGACTGAAAATGTCTTCAGAGAAAGGAGCTCTCAGGGCGGAGTGGTTTACCAGTGAGCTGCCCTTTGCAGGGTCTGTCCTTTCAAGCCACCAGCTGTTCCAAAGAAAGGTGAGAGACCTTCTGCTCTAGTAAAGATGTACGGACTCAGAACGCTTCGATGCAAGTGCACCCTGTCCGATCAGGACACAATGTGTCGAGATCCACTCTATGGCAGTGAGGTTTGTTTGTTCGTTTGGTTGGTTTGGTTTGAGCGTGGGGTTTATCGTCAAAGAAAGACCCAATTTCCCAACCCTGGTTATATACACAGTTATGGCGTTCAGGATGTCAACCTCTGGATTAAGAGGCATAATTCAAAGACAGGGGATAGTCAAAGCTCGCTTTTGCTGCTTATCCCTTATTTGCTGACCTCCCTCCTTTCCTTATTGTTAGAGATCTCTCACTTGTATTGATACCTTAAGACTTCCCTCAGGGCCTCTGGTTTGCAAATGATCAGTTCTCACCCACATGTGTCTCACTGTTGATCGTGCACACTGCACTAGATAGCAGGTCAGGGACAAAAGGAAACGTTTAAGATGGTTCCATGCCTCTTGCTTTCCTGCTTGACCAACGTCCGAGCTATGTTGTTGTTGTTTTTGCTGTTGCTGTCATTGTTGTTAAGTACCATCGAGTTGATTCCAACCCAATGCACGACAGAAGGAAGCGCCGCACCATCCTCAAAATTGGCCCTCTCTTGGGCCACTGCGGTAGCCACTGTGTCAGTCCAGCCCGCTGAGGGTCTTTGTCACTTCCACTGCCTCTGCTTTACCCAGCACGCGCTGGTCTGTCCTAACAACATGTCCAGAGTACGCAAGATGAGGTCTCTAAATCCTTGGCTCTAAGAGGTGTTCTGACCATACTTCTTCCAAGACGGATTTCTTTGTCCTTTTAGCGATCCCTGGTCCTTTCAAGAGTCCTCCCCAGCGCTGCAATTCAAACACATTGCTCCTTCCCCCGGCTTCGTTATTCAATTTGTAACTTTCATAAGTGCTTCATTAGCCTGTTGAAACATTTCAATTGGTATTCCAAAAATTCCTGGAGCCTTTCATTTTGAAATGCAGCTTTATCCCCTAAATATCTGGGGGATTTTTTTTTTCTTTTCTTTGGTGACATTCGGTGAAATAGAAACAATGGAAGGAAGGAATAAATAATAGAAAGAAGGAGAAAAGGAGAGAGGGAAGAAAGAAAAAGGGAGGAAAGGAGAGAATCAGGAAGGGAAGGAAGAAAGAAGCAAGGGAGGGATACACTATTTTTAAAAATTCGACCTAAGAGAATGGTTAGCATAACAAGAGGCTCTGACTTATCAGCTGAAATTTGTTTTAATTACCAATGTTTAGAATTACTTTACTTTCATTCTGTCTTCCACTGCTCATTCAAATATGAACAAATTCATTACTCTAGAGGTGATTGTGAATCATAGCAACCCTCTCAGACAGAGTACACAGAACTGGTCTTAAGGGTTTTCAAGAGTAAAAATCATTAAAGGAGTAGACAGCCTCATCCTTCTCCCCTAAAGAATGGCTGGTTGATTTGAACTGCCATTTGCCTTTAACCGTCCAATACTTCACCCATTATGCCATTAGGACTCTTTAAAATACCAGGGGGTACAAAAAAAACCACCAGATTTTGAAAAAAAAAACCCTCTATATTTAAATTTTTTTTATAAAACAACCTTATCAACCTCAAAGTACTCTCCATTACACTTAATAAATTTGTCAAACCTGCTATTCCATTCTGAGAAACAATTTTCAAATGCATCTGCTGGGATGTCTAACAGCACCTCCCTTGCTTTTTTTCCCTTCACGTCATCTATAACATCAAATCACTGTTCTTTCATGTCCCTCTTCATTTGCAGAAACAAAGAGAAGTAGCAAGGAGTGAGGTCAGGTGAATCAGGTGCATAGGGCAAGAGAGGCATGCTGGTTTTTTGCCCCAATCCTGGCACACAGGGATGGCTGTGTGAGCAGGTGCATTGTTGCAGTGGCAAAACCACCCTGTCTGCCACAAATCAGACCTTTTTTTTGCTGTACCCTGTTATGCAATCTTTACAGAAACTCTAAATAGAAAGCTTGATTAACAGTCTGACAGGGTGGAGCAAACTCCAAATGCTCTGCGAGTCCACATTTTCATCTGTTCGGAAAACTGATGGATTTCCAGAATGAGGTTTGTTATGAATTGACATTTCACCTTTTTAGCAATGAGAAAGCCACTCATACACTTACGTTTTTCACATAGCGCTGTCCTTGTAAGCTGTATTCAACATCACAACATTTTCTGCAGCATTTTTCCCAAGCAGGAAACAAAATTTCATAGCCCAATGCTGGTCTCTTAAATCAGCCATCACAAAAACGAAGTTCGAGCAAAACTGCTTTCACGAAAAAATTCACTATGACCAGAGCGAACCTTCCCAGGCAATGCCACTGGGTGTACGACTTCAGAATGAGATGCTCAATGCTCACCTAGCAAGAAAAATATGCACTACAAAAGCCCCACCCTGTGGAGCTTTACCAGGTTTTGTGGGGTACGCCCTCATATGTTTTAAAATTCTGGTCCATTGTAAGAAAACCATTAGAAAGTTACCCCAAAAGGGAGAAGGGAAATGATGATAGATAGATAGATAGATAGATAGATAGATAGATAGATAGATAGATAGATAGATAGATAGATAGATAGATGATAGATAGATGCTATTTTTGCTATAGATCATGTGGAAGGCCCCTTGACATAGGATATTCATTTAAAGAGGAAAAGTCCAATTTTTCTATTTCCGGTTCCCCAGGCCGTGATTATGAAAAGAGTAAAGTCTGCGCAGAACTCAGCAATCTGGGAAAAGATGACTTCAGATCTCTGTAAGTATGCGTTTGCCTACATGCGAGGCAAATAAAAATAGCGTGGCTTGTGCCAGGTGCACCTTAATCCTCTACGTGATGTCTTTGCTTGTTAAGACTTTAAAGAATTAAAATAAGAACTACTTTCTAAAGGCGCCTTCTATTCCTTTCATGAACTAAACAGAAAAGAAAATACATAAAATATAACTTTTAAAGAACTGAGCAGATTTGATATATTAATTTTTACAAATGTGACAAACGTTTTACTTCTAATTGATATTGTTATTTCTTGCCCCCTTCAGATCAATGATCTCCTACAGCAGAAAATTCCCCAGTGGCACATTTGAACAGGTCAAGCAGCTGGTACAAGCAGTGGTCTCCCTGACGGAAGACTGCTGTGCAGAGGGGGCTGACCCGAACTGCTATGACGACAGGGTAGGTTTGGGCTGTCATCCTTCTCCAGGGTGACTCACAGAAGGAAGCCGTCACTCCATGTCCTGGGGAATCTGGATCCCAACTCCATACATCTTTAGTTTCAGGGGTTGGGGGGTAAGCATGGAGCGTATTCTTCTTAGGAACAAGGTTTACTCCAATGTAATCACAGTCCATGTGGCTCATTGTTCTACAAGGTTCAAATGGTAAAGCAGAGGCACAGATTGACCTTGTTAGTAAGAGGTAGGTAAAAGATTTGAGTCAGCTATATCTTATCCCAAAGCCTGAATTTTGTATTCCAAATCTGACCCTTCCAAATATTGATATATCTTAAAAATAAGCCTCTTGAAAATAATTCTCTGCTCCTTCATAGCCTGAAAAAAAAAATCACTAAAATAAAAAACAAACCAGTTGATTCTAATTCATGGAAACTCTGTATTTGTAAGAGTAACGCTATGACCTTGCAGAACAAATCCACAATTATCTTCCAAGGTTCCTCTGGGTTAATTTGAAACCCGAAACTTTTAGTTGCATAGCCAAGCTTTTAACTGCTTGTACTAGCCTCAGATATGAATGTACGCCTACCCATATCTTTCTCATTATGTCAAGGATTGGTAACAACTACCACAGAATAATTAGCATTGGATTAAATATATTTTGTGCTTCAAAAATTGCCCTTAGATACATAAAAACTTTTGAGCTTTCCCCTCTGTAGTTTATATGCCTAAATTAAAATACTGAAATGATAAGCTTCAAGATACAATTATAGATGCTAACTGCAAAGGGAAATGGCAGCAATTCACTAACTTCAATCATCAGGCCTAGGGCAAATTATGTTTATATGTACTTTGATGAAGACCTTGTGATCAGGGACACTCATTTATGAGAAGGACCTTTGTATCAAGAAGTAACTTTACCTTAAGAAAGCACCCTGCCTAGTTCAACTCAAGTCCATAGGTCCAGGGCCAGCCAGGCCCCCTTCAGACTCACATAGTCACAGGCCAATGGTGCAGAAAGGGGCAGCAGGAAGCAAGGAGATCACGGGCCAGTCAGTGAAGAGCAGTGTGGATCCATGGCCAGTGGAAGTGTGCCAGCGTGCTGACAAAAGGCCACAGCCCCAAGGTACCCAGCTACCACTTGACTGAAAGGTTGTACTCCACCCTAACCAGGAATGTCCCCTGGACATAGTACCCAACTACCATAGACCTCTATAGTAAAAGAATCTGTTTTATTGCTAAAACCTTCAAGTACACTAGTGGCACATGGACTAAGTGTTAGTCTACTAACTGAGAGGTTGGCCCTTTGGACCCACCAGCTCCAAAGGAGAATTATGAGGTAGTCTGTTTCTGTAAAGATTTACAAATTCTGAAAATTTATGGAGCGATTCTACTCTGTCTTTAGAGGGTCACTCAGTCAAAATCAACTTGATGGCAGTGGTGTGGGCTTCAGCCTGTCACAGGTATCTTTCAGAAACAATATTCAGTCGATCTGACTAAATATAGTCTAGGCGCTGTGCTTAGCCATCAGTTGCTTTATCTGGTCCTGATTGACATCCTAAGAATTTCATGATCATTTCCTTCTACCATGGAGACAACAAGCACTTATTTTAATCTGATACTCCAAATTATTTTATTTCTATTGTATTTCAGTTAGTGTTAGGATATTTCACTAACACATTCCTAGACGAGAAACAACTTCTAGAATTGTAGAGACCGGTCATCAGGAAGATGGCCGTACATTTTGCTGTTGTTGTTGTTATTGTTGAATGACACCCTTTACACACACACACCCATTGCTCAAAACATTTGTTTAACTGTGTGCACATTTTTCTCTTTGCCAGAACTGAAAATTTACTTGAGAAAGAAATCAACATGAAAGGAGATTCACTGAAAATAGAGATAGGATTTTTTTTTAATCATTCCATTAGGGGCTCACACAACTCCCACCACACTCTACACACACATCAACCATTCAAAGCACATCTGAACTTTCACTGCCCCTATCACCCCCAAAACACCTGCTCTCCACTTAAGCCCCCGGCATCAGGTCCCCATCTTTTTCCCCTCCCTCCCCGCTCCTCCCTCCCTCATGAACCCCGGACAATTTACAAATCACCATCCTGTCATATCTTGTCCTGTCTGACGTCTCCCTTCACCGACTTCTCCGCTGTCCGTCTCCCAGGGAGGAGGTTACATGCAGATCCCTGCAATCGGTTCCCCCACAAAGAGAGAGAAACCCACTGCTATCAAATCAATTCCAGTTCATTGGGAACCTATATAAAGCTTTTGAGACTACATGTATTTCTCCCATAGGGTTGCTGCTGGGTTTGACCCTCTGATCTTTTGGTTAACAACCCCAATGCCTAACCAACAATGCCACCACGACTTCATCAAAAAGAGGGGAGGGGATGCTATCCCTAAATTCTGGTAGTTAATGGAAGGCAGATGTGTTCGCTACTGTTTATTTAGCATCTATGTAAATAATCTATGGATCCATGTGTTGCTGTCCTCCATGCGAGGGGAGATCGTTACAAGTTTTGTTCTACAAAAATCACTGACTTGTAATATAAGTTAGAATGTTAGGTAGGTTTAATTTTCCCATATTGCTACTTACATTTCTTTTTGTAACTTCAAATTCCTTCCAGTAATAATTATTTTGTTTTTGCATTTTTATTTTTCTAAGTACCACTGGATTGGCATTCTAGGCGTGGGCTTAGTCTGCCCATGTCTATCACTGAGATTGTAACTTAAATTCACATTGTCTTTCAACCCATTGATGGAAATGTGACTAAATCTTGATGCTTTGGGGAAATTGGTTTAGCCTTTTGGCTGCTCATCGCAAGGTCAGTGGGTTAAACCCACCAACCTCTCTATAGGAGAAAGATGAGGCTGTCTGCTCTCAGGAAGTTTTACAGTCTGTAGACCCTATGTAGGGTCTCTGTGCTGGAAGGGACTCCATGGGAGACGGTGTTGACAGGGGGATGTTAGCAACAGGAAATCTTTACTCTCAGTGGGGTGTTTCCAGGAGAAGGCAGGTAGAAGGAGCCACTTGGGGAGGTTTTCTCCTTCTTAAAGATGAGAATCGCTCCACAGAGAACTAATGTGCTAGATAGAGGGCATAAGCACGGATGGCTGTAAGCAGACAAAAACAGTATTGTTGCTGATGGACGTTCTGTTTGGTTCTACGCTGAGGAAGGGGTAGTTATTTATTAATACAAACAAGACCCTGTACAGGGTGGTTCAAAAAGTCTGTGGGACTTTTGAAAATGAAATGGAAAGATTATGGCATTTTCCCATGAACTGTCAAAGTCCCTTGTACTCGCGTATAAGAGCACTTCTGCCATTCACCACAAGAACAAATCAACTCAAGAAAACCTTGACATGGTTGCTAAGAATTTTTAAACTTTACAGTAACATGTTTTACTGAAGAAGACTGTTCTTCTTCTACTTTGTCTCCTCCCATTTCAGACGTCTGCACTGTCTGCCCGGTCCTGCGAGCAGGGCTCTCCGTTCCCCGTGCACCCGGGCACCGCGGAGTGCTGCACCAAGGAGGGGCTGGAGAGGAAACTCTGCATGGCAGCGCTGAAGCACCAGCCACAGGAGTTTCCCACCTACGTCGAACCCACCAACGATGAAATCTGTGAAGCATTCCGGAAAGACCCCAAAGACTTTGCTGACCAGTAAGCTGCTTTCATCAGAAGTAAAATTTCAGGTCACTAAAATAATCAGTGTTAATCTAAGCCCCTGTCTAGACAAACACCACATATCTCAACCCAGATGGCCTTTTCTATCTGAACGCTTCCTGTGAGAAGCAACTTGTCTATCATGCAACTTAGCCCATGTTCCCGCCAGTTTCTATGTTAATGAATGTCTTTCTCTGACAGATGAAGTCAGGTCCCAAAGTTGCTATTTACTGGTCCTAGTTGTGTTACGTGAAGCAGAATCACTTGGCTATCTCTCCAGATGACATTTTTACATATCTGATGGTATCTATTGTGATTCCCTTAGGCTGAGTTAAGGATCATATCATACTCTTTGTGAAAGACTTTGTTTTATTACTCTGCTTGTTTAAAGACTTAATTTCCAATATGACATAACTTTTAATTTTCCCTTCACTTCTGCATTACATTCACTGCCAGAAACAGTTCTGAATGTGATATGTTGTGGCACATCATAAGCATATAGCTTCAAGCATCTTATTGATTAGTACGCCTAATTAGCCAGAATGTACACTGAATCATAAGCCTTTGAAGAATATAAAAACATATTAAAATGGGGAAATCCAATTTAATGTGTCTACAAAAATTGGAAGCACTGCTGTTGAAAGTAATTTTAAATGCATGACACCAGTTAGAATCTTATTAAAAAGTCTATTGCTTTGCCCCTCTTTTTCAATTTTCAGAAGAGATTTTGAATAAGATTGCAGAACTGTTTTTAGAAAATTCAGGAGGCTTATTCTCCTAGGAATCAAAAGGTATTCATCAACAAATAAGGGAACCTTATAAGTAGCAATTGTCTCGGATCATGAACTGAATAGGGAATGAAAGATAACTTCATGAATATGAATGTTTTAATTTATTCAGTCAACATCAAAAACAGCTACTGTGCCCAAAAGCTATGTGAACGAAGAGCCAACTAGTTCCTACACTCAAGCACACTACATAGAAATTTAGGAAAGGACCTATTTTGAACTAATATTAATTAAAGATGACTTCAGTATTTTATATCTTTCTAAATCCTTAATGAATTTCAGATGCTAAAACTGTGTAACATGGACCTTCATCCATAAAAATACTTCTGAAAAAGTAGGATTGTGGATTGCAACTCAAAATATTAGCTAGGACCTGTAGGGGGCAGTAGATTTATGTTAATGGAGGGCAAAAAAAGTAAAAATGAGATTGAGCATGGCTGTTCAACTCAAAGAAGGTAATCACTCTGTAAAGAATTGTTGAATTGGTGTATATCCTACTGTGGGTATTCTCAACAACAACAAAAATAAAATAGATTATACAACTTTTAAAAGTAGGGTTTATTTTGACAACCCTTCCATTTTTCACCCGCAGATTTATATATGAATATTCCAGCAATTACGGAGAAGCTCCTTTACCCCTGTTAGTCAGTTACATTAAGAGTTATCTCTCTATGGTAGGGTCCTGCTGTACTTCCTCAAGTACAACTGTGTGCTTTCTGAAAGAGGTAAGTACCATTTGAGTTCTTACATCACCATTGGATATGTTGTCATGGAGTCGATGCCATCTCATGATGACCAGAGTGTAACTGCTCAACTGGCCTTTCAGTGACTGGGTTATTGGAAATAGATTGCCAGGCCTTGCTTCAGAGATACCTCTGAATGGATTCACATTTCCAACTTCCCTTAAGCCATTGAGTTTCTTAATTGTTTGTGCTATGCAGGGACTCCGTTGTTCAGAGTTGCAGTCTGATTTCTTCTTTTCATGGCATTGCTTTTAAACAATGGTAGAAATTTTGATTCTGGAATCAATAACGTTTCTTAAATGCTTCTTTATATTTGTTATTTGGAAAATAAGTAAACTGTTCTTGGGAAAAAGAATGTTGATAATCTCCTTTGTTCAGAATTCAGTTTTTATTTATTAAAAATCATGAAATCAATATTCTTTATTATTCCATCATATTATTTTCAAAAGATCTTGCCCATCTAATGAAATCCTATCATTTGTTTTCTAGAGGCTACAGATTAAGCATTTATCACTTCTAACCATGATGTCAAATAGAATCTGCTCACAATATGTTGCTTATGGGATGAATAAATCAAGACTCAGGTAAATGATAATATCACCAATGCATTCATTGGTTTGACTGAAATCTCCTTATCAGACTATAATATCCTAAGAATATGTCTGTAATCTGTAGTTACAGTGTGCCCACAAAACCTCTGATCTAAAACTTCTGAAAAAACGAGCTGTTATTTTTTTCCCTCTTCTTTATAAAGCATATTAAGGTTGTCCTGTGGAAACATGGATACATTGTAAAATAGATTTGCTTTTAATGAGAATCTTTCTCACATAGTCTTACATGGGCACAAATACAAACCATCTCTGCTATTCTCATACACCAACCCTGAGAGCTGAATACATCATCATTTCATACACTAAAAAGGATTTGCTTTGCCGGATTTTCTCTTGGAATGAGACATCCTGAACATCCTTCCTTGCTTGCTCTGTGAAACTTTCTGCTCTGTAGTCCGTATCTCCCTTCCTTCATGAACATATTCTCATATTTAGCTCTTTCAATTATTTGCCATCTTCACCTTTTGTGGGGGGGGGGCGGAATTACTCCTTTATAGTTAACTTCACATTGTAGTTTTGACAGTTTCTATTTTTATGTCATCTCCTCGACCAACGGGATTTGCCAGTTTCTATTCTCATCTATCATTTCCGTGTTTATAGTCCTTCAACTCTTTCCAAGGAGCCCTGGGGTGTAGGGGATTACGAGTTGGGCTGATAACCAGAAGATCAGCCCTTTGAACCCACTGACCTCTCCCCGAGGCTTTCTGCTCCCATACAGATTTACAGTCTCAAAAACGTGCACGAGCTGTGCTCCTCTGTCCTCTCGGGCTACTGAGTCTGGATCGACTCCGTGGTCAGGAGGGCTTTTGGGAGGGTTGTTTTCTTCTTGTTTTGTTTTGTCTTCTTTGAGCTCTTTCCACTCGGATTTACAGGCTTTTGTTCCTTTCACAATAATGAAAAATACTCATTTCTATTGCTGAGCTATGCATACTAAGCCTCGTGAGTCCTTTAAATATAATCTCATTAGAACCACTCAAAATAGATTTTCTCCAAATCTTGCCTCTGCTTTCCCTTTATTCTCTCTCTCTGCTGGATTAGGGACATATAGAAATTTATTTTTAAGTAACTAACTAATCATCGATTTATATTAACAGCAATATCCAAGGATGTGTCCTAAGGAACAAAGCTATAACTAGAACAAAGCTATAACTAGAAAATATTTAAGCCAAAATGTTTTATATGTGAAAGAAATGGACATTTCCTGTTTCTAGAATAAAAATTACTCTAATTATATTGGTGTTTCTATATGAAAGAATGCCATATGGTCTGTTAAACTTTTATGATAAAATAATATTTGATGATGTAGAACTGATTCCTGGAGTCCTGGTGGTGTAGTGAATATGAGTTGGGCCACTGACAGCAAGGTCAGCAGTTCAAAACCACAAGGGGCTCGGTGGAAGAAAGACTGGGCTTTCCACTGCGGTAAAAGTGACAGCCTCAGAAACTCACGGGGGCAGTTCTACCCCATCCTATCGGGTCACTAAGGGCCAGCATCTCACTCACTTGATGGCAGTAAGGGAGAACACCATCCTAATGTATTAAGTAAAAAAGTCAAAGATAAGTGTCTGTTAGACCATATTTCCATTCATGTATGCAGACCTTATACAATTTTTAACAGAACACACCAAAATGTTAACCCACCCACTCTGTGTTAACTATGTAGTACAAAGTGATAGGCCTTTACTATTTCACGTATTTACTCTGTGTATGCTAAGTAAATTTAGTAAAATATTCTTGAGGAATGTGGCAGACTACAGAAACACAATATTTGCCTATGAATAGATAGAAACAAATTGCTATATTTCTGACTTAGATCAATGTTTTAAGGTTTAAAGCCTGCTTCAAATATATAGATCTGGACAAAAGAGAAGTACATTGATATTTAACATTTGAAAAGATTCCTTGAAGGTGGGTTGTTGTTTCATTTTTCTTTAATCAGAAGTATTGGCATATAGAATCCATAACATGACAGATATGCTCTACACAACTGTTGAGGTTAACTTGGTATTATTTGGCATTATCTGGTATTGTACCTTTAGACTGTGTGCTCAGAATGAAACAAAGAAACTACAATGTTGGTTGCTAATAAACTCACTTTTAACTGCTTAGCCACCTTATCAAGTTAGCCCAGAAGGCACCGACTGCAGCTCTGCAAGATGTTTTGCCACTAGCTGAAGATCTTACTAATCTCCTCTCCAAGTGCTGCGAGTCTCCCTCTGAGGACTGCATGGCGAAGGAGGTAAGGGATCCCCTCACCATCGCCGGAATCATGCACCACGCACCTAGTGCCATTTACTGAGTGGCAGATACACTTCTTTTCTTTTAAAAAAAGGACATATAACTCACATATCACACAACTCTATAGTCTAATCCCATCAAGAAGGGTTAGTTGTACATTCACTGCCACAATCAATTTTAGAATATTTTCTTTGTTTTTGTGTTCCTCTCTGTTCCCTCCCCATCCCCCCCCAACTTCCTCTGCCCTACCGTCAATAAATTATTAATCCAGTTACAGGCTATAGACTTCTCCTGGATTTCATATACAGAAAAACCTTTTTAAAAAACATAACAACCATAACAAAATAAAACATTGAAACCTCAAACAAAAAGAAAGCAGAAACTATTAAAAACTAAAATAAATTTAAAGTGAATCAAAAGGGAGATCAAATGGCAAAGTGCTAAATGTTAGCCTAACTGCGTCTGCAAGTCTCCACTTGCAAATGCATTCTGCATGGTAGCGAGGCTGTGGACATCCCCGGGCTATGATCAGAGAGGATTCACAGGAAGCTCAATACTGCAAATGGATTCTGGACTTCCACTGTCATCCATAACCTTCTGAAACCCAGGTGTTGGCAATTTCAGCTCTGATACCATTTCCTTTGTCCCATTGAGATTATAGTAGTTACAGTCCTTGGATCACTCACAGCCTGCTGTGCTTCTCCCATGTGGATTTAGCTGATGGCTCACTTAGATGGCAGCTTGTTTGAAGGCAAATCTTTAAGACCTCAGACACTCTTGCTTCTGACAGCCAGGGAGCATCTATTTTTTGTCGCCACACTTTCCTGTAGCACCCACATCCTCCGGGATCTCTTCATGAGGGCAGACAGACAGATAAACCTGTAAGCCCCTTTCACAAACATTGTCTCAAGGAATTCACAGGTGTAACCTCTGAAATTGTTTGCTAATTCCATTTCAGAGATGAGCAATCAGAAGACTTGCAAGGCTTTAATTCAAGGCCACATTGGTTGCAAATCTCAGCGTCCACATTCAAGGACTAGATTTTTTGATGCACAAAACCTTGCTCTACTTCCATTGTACAAAATTACATTTATTAACCATATGTGGTTAGTTGAATTGTAATCTGTCAAAATTAAATAAATATATAATTCAGTTCTTGTATTCACTGATCACATTTCAAATGTTCAAGTGCTCAGTAGTGTTGGGCAGCATAGATATAGATAATTTCCATCATTGTCGATGGTTCTCTTGGAAAGATCTACATACCATTATTTCATTAGAAGTTATTGATGCTTTTATTAGACCTTTCATAATTTGATGTTATTTCAATTTTGTGCCATATGTCATTTATATAGTCATTTCAAATTGATTTAGATATGAAAAAATTTGTAGAAGTTTATCAAACCTGAAAAGGTTGAGGATTTGCTTTAAATAAATGTTATATTTTCTGGTGTTATCCAGTCCTTTGCGAAAAAAGGCATATGTTGCCTTTACTTTTTTTTAATCAAGAAAATACATTGGTATTAATAGTGTTTTCCTATAATCTGATTTACCATGCATAGGTAGGACTGTATCGCATAAGCCTCCTGCATATATTAAATCTAACTACCTAAATATGCTATATTTTTATTTCACAAGTACTCAATTATTAGATTTTTATTCTTTTTCACTGCTTTAAACAATGCTACAATGCATAGCTTAATGACTAAACTGTCCCTTCATGTAAAATTATTCTCTGAGGATAGATTCTTAGAATTGAAATTATGCATGTTTAAGGCTTCTAGTTCATAGTGATAAATTGCCTCTCAAATGTATTGAACTAATTCATTTCTGGGAGCAGTCATGCTAACTGGGGTTCATGTCAGGGTGGGGAGGTGCAAGTCTTACTTGTAGTTAAAAGCCAGTCAGAAAACTAACAATGCATAAACTCCTCACTCCTTTTATAGCTGCCGGAACACACAGTAAAAATCTGTGATAAGTTATCCACAAAGAATTCTAAATTTGAAGACTGTTGTCAGGAAAAAACACCCATGGACATTTTCGTGTGCGCTTACTTCATGCCAGCTGCCCAGCCCCCTGAGTTGCCAGCTGTTGATTTGCCCACGAATAAAGCTGTGTGCAGTAGAGAAAACACCAAAGCCAAAGAGCAGTAAGTACACTTGATCCAAAATGTACTTCACCCATGCACCCCAAGGGGACTCAGGGGATGGGGCTGGAAGGAGAGAAAGGATGCTGCTCCTTAGCAGACAAGGTACTATTTGTGCTTTCTGTGAATTTCTAGCACTTGTTCGTTGATTTTAAAGGAGCTCTGGTGAGGCTGCCAATGAAGCATTTGACTGCTAACCACGAGGACAGCAGTTAAAACTCACCAGCCACTCCAGGGGAGAAAGAAGAGGCTGTCTGCTCCTGTAAAGAGTTACCCTCTCCGGCACACCAGGGAGCAGCTTCACGCTCTCCCAGAGGGCTGTGATGGGTTGGAATCGCCTCAATGACTCACTCACTGACTCACAGCAACTCTACAGGAGAAAGAAGAACTTTCTGAGGAGACTACATTTTTATGGGAGTAGAAAGCTTCATCTGAATCCCATGGAACAGCTGCCCCACAAGTAATCCGCTACATTATCAGGGCTACTTATGTTAATGAGAGTCTCAAAACTCACTGCCATCGAGTCAAGGCGGACTCATTGTGACCCTCTAGGACAGGATATAAGTGCCTCTATGTGTTCCTGAGACCGTAACTCTCTATGGGAGTAGAAATCTGTCTTTCTCCCACAAAGCAGTTGGTGGTTTTGAACTGCTGTCCTTGCAGATCACAACCTGATGCTTAACCACTACGCCACCAAACTTCCTATCATAATAATATGTTTAAATTTTAATCAAAAGCTCAAATGATATTTTAGCTCATTATGCATTTTATTTTTAAAACAGATAATGCACATAAAGCAAATTTTTCTAGACAGCATTGGTATTTATAATACTTAGATAAAAAGCCCCCCCCACCAAGGAGACAAATAACAGAAATGTGAGTGAAGGGAGACAACGGACAGTGTAAGATATGAAATAATAATAACAATATATAATTGACAAGGATTCACCAGGGTGGGAACATGGGGGAGCGAGGGGAATGTTTTGGAAATGGTGATGGCAACATATGTGCAAATATGCTTGATACAATTGATGTATGATATTATAAGAGCTGTTAAGAGCTTCCAATGATTTTTTAAAAATATATTAATTAGATAAAAAGATATTTAGTGAACAGAAATGATAAAACTCAATCTGGTTACATCCAACTTTTAAAAAAAAGACTACTGTAAGTACACCATAGTTTTCATATCCCATACGTTGAATATCTCATGAGTACGCATTCTCGTGATGCAAACATCTTTATCAAATAAGTTGAGGAATCAGGTTAGGATATAATGTTATCAAAATCAGACCGCAAATTTTGGACCAAACTAATGATCTTATTTATGGTTTTTCCAAATACTAATTTTAGAAATGCTTGGACTGAAATGATTAAGGCAGAATGGTATAATTTTCACAAATGTATTTTCACAGGAGAGACATTTAAGGGACCCTATTGATGTTTTATATAGTGTCGATATAGTATTTGAAAAGAGAGCTTTTCCATATTCGATTTAAATGTCTGTGTTTACATAATGCATCCATGGCTCTGATAGGAGCCCAGCTGGCAGAGTGGTTACCGAAGGTTGGCAATGTGAAAGGTCAGCGATTACACTCCACCAGCAGCTCTGGGGGAGAAAGACGCAGTAGCCTACTTCTGAGTAGGGACTGATTAAAAAACTATGAGTTTGGGGTCTGTATGTGAATGTATACATAATACAGATTAATCATTTTAATTCAGTTTTAACCAGCCACAGTATCTTCATTCAAAAACAACTTCCTGAAACTTGCACTTTAATGAAAATCTTCAATAATACAAACCTGTTGATTCAGGTGTTAACTTTAGCTAAAAATGTCTTTTTCATGAAGACCAAAAAGGTTTTGCCTTTATAATAATTATCCTGCATTCCAAAACATGAATGCATACACGCATACCTACACATATATTATTGTCGTGGTGAGGTATGACTGAGTCACGCTGTAGCAAACATGAGTCCCTTGCCAATGACTGGTCCCTCCTGATAACAGAGCAAAGTACAGGAGGCGAATTCTTGCCATCCTCACTTCGAAGGAGCATTCTGGCTGCACTCCATCTGAGACGTGCTAGTTTGGTCTTCAGTGTGCTTCACCACCACCGTAATTACAATGCGCTGATTCTTCCGTAGGCTTCCTTAGTCAGGGTCCACGGCTCCCAGTCATAAGAAGCTGTTGAAAATGCTGTGGCTTGTGTCAGGTGCACCATAGTTTTCCAAATGTCATATTTTCTCTTAACGTTTTAAGGAGTTCTTGTGGAATAGATTTACCCAATACAATATGTCATTTCATTCCTTCACTGCTGGGGTCATGGCTCTTGATGGTGGGGTGAAATGACACATATGCTAATGTGCATTATACCCTCTTGTCTCGTCCACTAGGTATGCATTTGAACTCAGCAGAAGGACCCAGATTCCGGAGGTGTTCCTCAGTAAGGCACTTGACGCGACCCTCACCAGCCTGGATGAATGTTGCGGCTCCGGAGACGCCGCAGCCTGTCTTCAAGCGAAGGTGCCCTTTGTTAGATTTTCTTTACCAGCTTGGGTCTCTAGCATAGCTTTGCAAACTGCAGCCCAGGGGCCGAGTCTGGCCGGATAATGCTTATTTTTATATGCCCTGTGAGCTAAAAAAATGTGTTTATAATATTCAGTGGTTAAAAATATATCTATTTTCAGAAGAATGGTGCATGATATACAAAAATTCTAAGACATTCTCGTTTCAGTGTTCAGGAAGAAAATGTTGTTGTAGCGCAGCTGTGCTCCTCCGTTTTTGCATTTTTAAGGACTGCTTGTGCTCCACAACAGCAGAGCCGAGCATTGAGACAGAGCCCAGATTGCCTGCAAAGTCTAAATTACTTCCTACCTATCTAGCTCTTTGTAGAAAAAAGTTTGTTGATGCCTATTGTATACACAAACACAGGACTCTCATTTAACAGGCTCCTGGGAGAGTGTCTCAAAGCAAATAATTATTATTGTTTTACAGGGCCCTCTCCTGCAAAAAGAACTATCATCTTTCATTGAAAAGGGACAAGAAATATGTGCTGATTATTCAGAAAACACATTTACCGAGTACAAGAAAAAGTAAGGATTTTGCTTTGGCTGTATCCTCCAAGTTTATCATTCATCTTTGCCTAGTATTTTGATTGGGAAGCGTAGTTGAAACTCAGGAAACACTAAGTAAGAGAGCAATAAAAATAGGAGCTACCACAAGAGAGAGAGCGAGAGATGGAAAGCGTGGAAGCTAATAACTGCAGGAGAAGCCTAGGTCTCGGCTGGAAAATAAAATACACCACGCAGATGAGGTGACGGGACAATTCGAACACAGCCCCAAATTGTAAGTTATAAAATCTGACTACAGTTAAACATACATGCATGTGTGTGTGTATCTGTAGATATCCGTATCCTTAAGTCTTGGGAATTTGGGGTCTTTTCTATTTCTGCTTACCTCCTGCTGAAAGGACGAACCCATCTGTTTTGAAAGCAGGATGGCCGGAGTGCTCCATGCAGGCAGGGATAGCAAGACTTCATGTTCCACACTTTGGACATGTTGCGACGGGAGACTGGTTCCCAGAGAAGGAGCAGTGTTGGGTAAACTAGAGGGACTGCAAAAAAAGGGAAAGGTCGCAGAGACATGGACTCAAGCGTGGGAACAGTTGTGAGGAGGACGCAGGCCGTGTGTCTTTCTGCCGTGCGCCATGTCGTTATGGCTTGGAAGTGACTCGGTGGCACCTAACCCCAGCACCCCACTCAAAGTGGCAAGCATTTCTGGGCGAAAGCGGCAAAGCTGGGCTGAGTTCTGTATGAAGACACCCCTCGCTCACAGATCATTCAAGCTGCGGAAGACGGGAGAGATAGCAAGCCTTTCCCCGTCTGAAAAGTGAGACTCAGTTTGTTATGACCAGTTCCAATTGGAGAGTTGGTTTGGGCTTGTGGCGCCCCGTGTGTGTCAGCAGACCGGTGCCCGTTAGGATTTTCCCCAGAGTCCGTCAGTGTTGTTCTCCGGTGCCGTCGACTTGCTTCTGACCTGGAGTAACTCCGGGTAAAGACAACGCAGCACTGCGGGTCCTGCGCCAGCAGCACTCTGGTCCTCTGCCTGAGCCCCTGGTTGTCGCCATGGTGCCAGTCCGTCTCATTGAGAGCCTTCCCTCGTTCACGGCCCCTCTGCTTCACCAAGCAGGATGCCCTTCTCCGGGAATTTCTCTCTCCTGTCAACATGTCCACAGCATCCGTTAACAGAACAGCTAGAAGCGACAAGTTGCCTGGCCTCTGTATCCTTTATTTTCAGCATAGAAAACTCAGAAGTACACCAATGGAGGGGAGGGGGGAGTGATTTAAAATAGAGAACCCTAAGCAAGTGTTAATGTAGCATCAGGAACTAATCTTTAAGATGCTTGAAATCTAGAAACAGAAAGCACACGACAGGCCGAACATAGAGGCTAAGAATACAGAAGGAAGTCACCCATATTGAAATCACTGAGCACCCTTAAGTAGAAAGATTATAATTCAAGTTCAGCAGCAATTTGCGTGCTCACTTTCCTGGTCTTGAAAGAGATGTAGATTTCACTTTTTAATCTAACAATAGGTTACCAGCACTCATTCAACAGATATCACTATTTTTATTTTTTTATTCTATAAGATCTAACATAACTATCATTTGCCCTAGGACCATGTATAAAAACCCATGTAGTAAACTTTTACGTGAAAATATCTTTCAGACTTACGGAGCGATTAAGAGCAAAATTGCCTGACACCTCTGCTACTGACCTCGCCCAGTTGGTGGACAAGCACTCAGACTTCGCCTCCAAGTGCTGCTCCATCAACTCCCCTCCGCTCCACTGTGACTCAGAGGTGGGCGACTGAACACGCTACTCACCACTCGGTGCTCCCAGAACCGCGCACTCCACTTCACTCCTTCCTTTCTTGATACTGAGGGACCCATGTGCAATAGGCTTTACCTAGTGCTCGACTCTGCCACATTGCATCATTAGTATCGTTTCCACTTTAACGACACAAGCTATTACTCTAATTTTGCTTTGGCTTAACACAAAAAACAATACAAATACAATCAGAGCACAAATAAAGGTCACATGATTATTCTTTTTTACCGTAAGAGTTCTTTTTTAAAGGTTAAAAATATTTATCTTAAGACTATGAAGATGTTGGGGTCTTTCTTATTACATTTTTATGTCTTTTATGTCCTATCACTTGGCATCCAGTTTTGAAAGATAAATAACTTAGAACTCCTATGTATCTGCCAGTTTTCCTTCACAACCTCCCTAAATTTTGCTATTTATCTTATTTTTAATATTATTAATGATGATAAGACAAGCTTTTTTGTCACCATAGTTTTCCAAAAAATATACAAATTGTCAACATTTAAATGAATTGAAGGAATGATTGTCACCTCCTTTTGCTGTGCCTTTTTTCTCCTAAATTCTTAATTCATTCATATTTTCAATAGGCATTTAACATCAGCTGTTTCTTTTGGTTTTTTCAAAATTTACAATATCTTTTCTGATTCTATTTCTTCCTTTTTTCACCTTTGCATGTTTTGGCACTGTTCTATTATTTTATGATATTGATGAATGCTGCAGAGATGGCTGATTCACCTTTGAAAGAAACTTTAAGTAGCTGTACAATAATGGTTGGTCATTTTGTGTGTTTCATATGTTATTTATTTGCCTAATGCCAGATGAAATGATTCTTTCCAATTCGCATTCATCTTACTCAAAATGTAAACTGTCACTCATTCCATCTCTTCCTACCCAGTCTGGAATGCTGCATTTGAATCTATCAGTTCGTTGGGTTTTTTTGTCATGTCAAGAAAGTTTTATTCTACTACATATTAGGGAAAGTTTTCTTATGTCGTTCATCAGATTCCCTTCTTCAAGAGAAGCGATTATGTAATACTGTTAAGGGATTTTGTTGTTCTTACTGCGATGGTTTGTGAGTTGCTGTGACACTGAAGGCTGTGTGTATCACTGGTGGTTCAATACTAGCAGGGTCCCTCAAAAGTGAGCAGGTTTCAGCAGAGCCTCCGGACTAAGAACAGACTAGAAGAAGGAATAGATTGTCCACTCTGAGGAATTATACACTGTAAACCATGTGGGTAGCATCGAAACCTTGTCACATACTGAAAATCTCACGGATAGAAAGAGAGCCTTGTCAGACCTAGTACCAGAAGATGAGCCCCTCAGGTCAGAAGGCATTCAAAGTATGACTGCGGAAGAGATGTCTTCTCAAAGGATAGCCAACCATAAGGACATTGATGGAGGAAAGCCCAAGGGAGAAGTCTTCAGATCCTTCGTTTGTTGATGGGGCATGGAGTCAAAATGAGAAGAAACAGCTGCAAGTATCAATTAATGGTCAGAACAGGGAATCTATGAAGTATAATATAGGAAAATCGAAAGTTGCAAAAAATGAAAAGCTTTTGGGATTTACTCCCATTTTACTCTTGGCAGTAATAAATTCTCTACTATTGGCTAAATTAATGACACTATCAATAGAATTACCTTATGCCCCAGGTTGATGATTTATCGTATTCTTATCATAAAATGATAATGGTGTCTCAAGAGTGAACCAGAGACAATAAACCATAGTTACATGAATGGATTTGGGACTTGTTAATTCTAGTCCCAATCTAAGAATAATTAGTCCTTATGGCATGACCCTGTTCAACACTTACCTACATATAGATCAATAAAACGTGGATAGAAAGAATAGCATCTGAGGTCTAAAAAGCTTTTTATTTCTCCTGTTTATTATACTGTTGTTGGTCCAGTTGTGAGGCCTTTTTTTAAATCATTTTATTGGGGGCTCATACAACTCTTATGACAATCCATACATACATTGTGTCAAGCACATTTGTACATTTGTTTCCATCATCATTCCCAAAACATTTGCTTTCTACTTGAGCCCTTGGTATCAGCTCATCATTTTTTCCCCTCCCTCCCTGCTCCCCACTCCCTCATGAACCCTTGGCGATTTTACACTGTCCGACGTCTCCCTTCACCCTCTTTTCTGTTGTCCATCCACCATGGAGAAGGTTATATGTAGATCCTTATCATTGGTTCCCCCTTTCTACTCCTCCCAGTATCCCCACTCTCACCACTGCTCCTGAAGGGATCATCTGCCCTGGATTCCCTGCGTTTCTGGTTCCTAGCTGTACCAGTGTACATCCTCTGGTCTAGCCAGATTTGTAAGGTAGAATTGTGATCCCAAAAGCTTGTCTTAAAACAAGTAGATATCTAAATGAAGCTTAAACTCAGTCCACATAGAAGAAGCACGCCAGCCTTTGTGATCCAAGGAATTGTACAGAATAAAATCCAAATCTGAAGGATGAAATGGTATCAGAGATTGAATTATGAAAATCCATTTTGAAGAAGGCTAGGGAGGACAGTGGACGCCCAAAATCCAATAGCAGAGTCCACACATGAATGAAGTCTCCAGTAAATCCCCTCTGACCATAGTCAAGGCATGTGAACAGCCATGCTACCAGACAGAGTATTGTACAATCAATTATAGTAGATGTAGTTAGTCTCTCTTTGACCTGTTTTAAAGTTGTTATATTTTTTAATTTCATTTTAAAAAATATTTTATGCTTTTTATTTTCTATGTTTTAGGTAGTCATTGTTGTTGAGTTCTTTTGCTTTCTGTGTGTGTTTTGTACAATTTCCTGTATACGAAATCTGGATAGGTAGATTTACAGAGATAGTAACTGGATAGGTAGGTGTGTGGCAGGGAAGGAAGCTAAAAGCAATGAGTATTACAACAAATGTTCTGAAATTGATTATAGTGTTGATTACACAAATCTTCCTAATATGATTAAATTGTATGATATGTGAAGCATATCACACAATAGCCAGGAAACTATGTTTTTAAAGAGTTACAGTCTTGGAAACTCATATGGGCAGCTTTACTCTGACCTACAGGGTCACTATGAGTCGGCACCACTTCAGGGCAGTGAGTTTAAGTTGAGAATGTCTACTCCTGTGAAGATTTACAGTCTTGGAAACCCACAGGGGCAGTTTTCATCTGCCCCATAGAGTCACTATGAGTCAGGGTTGACTTGACGGCGGAGGGTGAGTTGGATTTAAGGGTACCCTATTTCAACCACCATACAACTTCATGTATAACAACATTCTTTCATTAGTTAGGCCCCCATCATCATGCATACTGAGGAGCCCTGGAGGTGTAGTGGGGTCCTAACTGAAAAGTCAGCAGTTTGAAAACGTGAGTCACAACATGAGAGAACGATGAAATAGGTCCTTTCTCTTCCCGTAAAGATTACAGTCTCAGAAACTCACATGGGGCAGTTCCATGCTGGCCTCTAGAATCACTGTGAGTTGGCATGGAACCCAACTCACCCTGACTCTATAGGTTGGTTGAGGATAACATCGATTCAATCTAGGGTGGTTGTTCGCTTTCAAGCAACTAGAAACTATGTACAATCTGTTCCAAATTTCAGATTTTCTACTATTCAAAATGGATTTGAATGCTTTTTAAAAATTAACTAGTGTGAGGTCTAGTCAGAAGTCTGGGCTGTGCTCACCAATCCTAACATTCGCATTTAATAGTGAGGTGTTTTCTTTGTTTTTACTGTGCAATGATCAGACAACGTTAATTTGATAGCTTGAGTAACATAAACTTGGATTTGGGGGGAGAGAAGGCTTTTCCTTTACATAAATTTATAGGTTCGGAGTTCTCTTGTAAATAGTTATACTCATCTCAAATGTGTCTGCTTCTTCATAGCGATTTGTAACATCAGAATTCTATATTAATAGCATATATTAGAATCATATTTTAGATGACACCTAGCTTTCATTAAGTGCTGCACTATGTAAGACTCTAAATCCAGAGAATTAAAACAAGTTAGATTATGGAGGTATTTTGGTCCTTATGGACATTCAAACATTTAACATAAACAACTAAATCGAACACTTTCTCCTTTTCATTTCAATTTGTCTTTAGTAATATAACACCAGGATTTAAGTTGCCTTATCCTAGGAAAATAAGATCAGCTTACCTAAAAACTATGTGCCACCAAAAAAATATTCTCTGAGATCCCAATCATTGAAAAAGAAAGAAAAAATCTAAAAGCTTTTTGCATTCTCTCAGGAATGCCACTTTGGGAACCCTTCCTCCACCCCTCTATTATCTGTTGATCGAAACCCAAACTCATAGGTGATAACTGGACTTCAGGCTTCCTTCAAGCACCTCTTCGGTCATTTCTTTGAGTTGCTTTTCAGTATATTTTTCATAATACTTTGCCATTTCAAAACTGTGTTATTTTCAACTACAATTGTGAGACGCTATGTTTGCAGCTTTCTATATCACCAGTAAATTTATACGAGAGCTACTGCTGCTAAAAAAGCCAGTCTTTCAGTGATCACTGGAGAAACGTGAGAAGAATGGAGTTGTTGAGGTCTGATTATGGAGGACACCGAGGAGACCCTCCTACATTACTACTGGTTCTTCTGATTGCTGTTCTATGCTGATCTTTCAGCGAATTTGTGCAGCTCACTTCGAACAAACTCTACTGTTTGAACACCGTTCCCTTTAATTGTCAGTGCTTCATGTAATTATTTGCCTTATTTAGCCTATAATGTTTAGAACATATTTTATTGTTATGCCTTCTTGTCCTATGTGTTTGACAAGCCAGTTGCTTAAAAGTTGTGACCATCCACTTCTTTGACTCTCAGTCATTTAAATCCAGGGGTCACTTTTCAGACCTGGCTGCCATTACACACAGCACTACTGCTGAGAGAGAGGCAAAAGGGCCTGGGAACCACGCTAAATGAGGGCTCATTATTATGTGACACTGTACTCCTGCCCTCGCCCTGGTCTAGGGCATTCACTACAATTTTGTGTCTGGGGTTTAGGTGCCATAGAGGCCCACTTCCGAGAACTCATTATCCTGCTTCTCCTAAAGTGTCCCAACAGAGTGCTAGTGGGCATCAACTATGGCTTCCCAAAGCACTCAGAAAACCACTGCAGTTTGCTGGAGTTAATGATTAAAATCCTGACAGCATAGAAACAAATGCAAATAGCCATGTAAAAGCTGAGCCAGGAAACAAATAAAGGGGATGATTCTCACTCACTCTCTCAATCTCTCTCTCTCTGAACTCAAGAAATACTGCCATATCCATCTTAGTTTTGATGACTCTCCATGTGACAGCTAACACTTACTAACCTATGACTATATTTCAGAGAGGATATGAGGAGCTTTAACACATATATGATGCAAAATGATCCAAAAACAATTCTAAAAGCTAGATACCATTTTAATTCCCCCTTTGCTGATGATTTTAATAAGATTTACAGAGGTTAGGGAAATCATAAGTTCATTTCATGAGTCTCAAGCACATCTCACTGCATGGGATTGTCACATACTTCAACCCGAATTTAGTTCATGCTATGACAAAAGGCTACTATTAACTAAAGAAACAAAACAAATCAATATCATTAATCAAATATGATACAACATCATGACCCTTGATTACTTCTACAGTTGATCTCTTATATTCCTTCTCCTCCATCTCCTATTTCACTTGTCCTGAACTACTGTAGCTTTTCAAGCACATCTTGCTTTAAGACCTTTGCGCATGGTTACTCAGCCTGGATTTCCCACTCAGTACCTGGCTGAAACTGTCCTCATACTTCAAGATTGAACCTAGGTCCCACGTTCTATGGTCCCATAACGTTCCAGACATATCCCAGTCGGAGCACTAATTAAACTCTATTGCCATTGTTTTCTTGTCCTTCCAAGGTGCGACTCTTCAAGTACAGAGACAGGTAGGACGACATATATGTGAAAGATGGCTGCTAACAAATGTAGCATATAATTACAGTTTTGGAAAGAACTTTTCCTTTCGTTTGAAATGTCTATATTTTCTGCATGATTGAGTAGGTTACAAGTAAAATATTGCACAATTTTGATAATAAACTCTTTTGTTCATTCTCAGATTGAGGCTGAAATGAAAAATATCCTATAGTTACGATGCCTGTGTGTTGTCTTAGGTAAGTACATTTTTCATAGGCAATAACAAAAATACAAGCATTGTACAATGTATCTTAAAAATCACGGAAAGATTTTATCTAATCAAATTATCTATTCTAATTATTTGTTCTTCATTCAAATTTATTTTAACAAATAAAAATATTAAGACTCTGAAGAAACTAAGGGGCGTATATCAGTCGGACTTTTAATACACTTTAGGACTAGAATCAAGGTTTATTCTTTTTCAGGCTAGTGTTATTTCTACCAAAATTTTACTTCTAAAATAATGGTGTGCTTAGTCATTTTAGTGGATTTTAATACACTTCCATGGGAAAAGACATAATTTTAGAGGCAGGGTCTCCAGAAAAGTTCTTAGGAGAAAGAGGTATAGTTCAAATTAAAACAATACTGTTGAAGTATTGTCACTTTCTTCTTTCAGATATTACATGTTAATACATTAAAAGTACCTGATGTTGGGAGCACAGATAGATTATTTGGATATGACTCAATGCCTTAGATGAAAGGTTACTTTCACTCTGTACATTTTAACAAAACTATTTTCTCTCCAGATGCTATATTAATTTTTAAATTAATTTTTAAATATTAAGTTTAAGATTAGAATTCGAATTCTTTAATTATTTGGATTATCTTAGATATCCATTGAAAATTTTAAACCATGTACTCTTTTTTTATTTTACTGACTTATCAACAACTTTCCAGAAATGACGTGTAAACAAAAACTCTCTTAATAGACTGATGATTAAAATTAAAGCATTCCGCATACTAGTTTGGGGCAGGCATTTGAGGCAATGAAGAGGAAAATTAACACCGTGAGAAAGAGCATACTGGACGGTCCGGCAAACTGGCCCTTGGAATGAGTCCATTTGAATTGGAATCCCTGCTCCTCCATCATTTATCTTTGTGACCTCAATCAACTTAACATGTGCTCCTAATGTTTCATGTGCTTCAGAGGCATGTTGTAATGATTGAATGTGAGATGACAAACATAAAATACTTCCCCAAATCCATTCTCACTGTCACTGAGGCTGTCCGCAGACCCCTGGTGACCCTGTAGAACAGGCTACACATGTGCCTGTGAGTTTCCACCTACATAAAATACTTAGAAAGAATGACAAATAGTCACAATAATAAGAGCAATTTTACTGTCACAAACTGCTGCTGCTATTGGTGATATGAATCTAAACTTAAAAAGACTTTTCAACTCACAATTTGTTATATTTTGGCTTGTAAGTATCATTATGTTCTGAAAAGAAAGAAATATTCCTCTCTTTGGAGAACAACCCCATCAAAATGAAAGTTATTTGCAGTGCAAATATTCAGGAGTTGAGCTAATATCTGGTCTCTAATGCTGCTGTTGTGTTTTTTTCTCCATTTAAATGAATCCAGACTCCCTTGACCTCAATCCACTCATAATAATGTCTAGAGTTTTTAAAAAATCTGAGTATAAAACTGTTACCTTACTCTAGCCCTCCAAGATATCTTATGCTTTAATATGTTGTTATTTATATGAGAGCCTTGCCACTAAATGTGTTTCCTTTTGCACTATTTATCCTTCAGAAACTCTTGGCGCATTGTCTTTGTGTCTTCTGTGTCGTCCCAGATCCTGGGAAGCACAGGCTAAAACTGGAAAAGAAGGAAAGGACATACTAATGTGATCGATTTCAAAAGATTGTTTATAACCACATACTTTCCAAAATACTCTAGCTATCTAAGAAGGCTGGTGAAATGAAAACTCAGTTTTCAGGAAGTGCTGAGTCAGACTTGAAACAAGTGCTCAATTTACACTTGTCTAGTTTAGGGTCCTGCGAATAATATATATTTTTTCACTGGGGTTAGGTTTTAAATTATTTCAGAAAGTAAAAAAGATCACGTACAGCTAAAATCAGTATTCAGACTTTCATACATTATCCCTGAAGTATAAGGAATCTTACATATAGGACATCATGTGTTATGTATAAAAGAATAATCTACTTAACAAGATATTGTGTATATAGACAAAATATATGCATACAATCCTATTGTATATACAATATTTGACATACACTAAATATTTTCATTATATAAGGATAAACAAATAAAAACCTTTTAAAATAATAAAAGTAAAATTAAAGTCTGCACACAAATCATTCATTTCAAGCAGTCTCCTATTCCGCCACATTGCTGAAAATGCTAATGAACACCAATGATAATTGTACTGTCTCAGCATAACAATAAGAATGGGATGTTACCATCCGCCAGATACTGTTTTAAACACATATGCATTATTATATTCATAAGCACAACAGTAGCCCAAGGCAAAAGTATTACTAGTAGCAGAGCTAAATTAACAAGCTTATTCATGATCACATAGCTTGTAAAATTCACTCTAATATTAACCCAGGAAGTCTGGCTCCATAGCTCATGGCCTCATCCAGTATTCCTTATAATCAGTATATGATGTAACCTGAGACAATGCTGAAGGATATTATATGTATTCTAATTGAAAATATTATTGGGAAGTCAACTGGGCGAACAGGAGTACATCGACTATACAGAGTTCTGTAAAATGTTACTAATTTTCCTTAAAAGAAAAAGTTCAGAGATCAGCTGTTGTAGTCTTTGAACGTAGTCTCAAAGAGTCCACATGGCTATACATTACTGTGAAGTTTTGTCCCACTAAAAATCTTACACAGAAATGAAGTTATTATTCAATGTTCTGCTGTTTGGAACACAGACTAATATACTGACTCTAAGATGCTATATATCTCATTCATAAAACTTTTCCCCCCCAGATCTACCATTAGTCAGTGTTTTCCTACAGCCCTTAAATAACTCTTCAGTTGCTATACCTCCTAACCCTTTGGCCACCCAAACACAAGCTGGTCATCTGTAAAAGAAAGAAAGAAACCCTATAACCCTATATATACCCTTACATACTGCTTCCACAGATTTCAACAGCAACCATTGAGCCATTTGAGCTCGATTTGATCCAGGGTCTATGTGTTATAAATCACAGTCTACAACAGTGAAAAGCTATCAAAAGTGCATTGTGTTAAGAATAGATATTTGGTCTCAAAAGAGCAAAATTATATCTTGTTCACAAGATTAAAGGATATATGTAGTAGCGGTGGGATGTAAGAGAGCAATTCCAACTTCATCATTTGGAAGTCGAAATCTTAAAATTTCTTTGAAATTAAAGGATTGCTTTAAATACATCATTTTATTGGGGGTTCATACAACATTAACACAATCCATCCATCCATCCATTGTGCAAGCACATTCGTACATTTGTTGCCATCATCATTCTCAAAACATTTTCTTTCTCCTTGAGCCCTGGTATCAGCTCATTTTGCCACCCTCTTCCTCATTAACCCTTGATAATTTATAAATTATTATTATATTTTCACGTCTTACACTGACTGAAGTCTCCCTTTATTCACTTTTCTGTTGTACATCTCTCTGGGAGGGGGTTATAGGTAGATCATTATGATCAGTTCCCCTTTTCTCCCTCCACCTTCCTCTTATGCTCCTGGTATGGCTACTCTCAATATTGGTCCTGAGGGGTTTATCTGTCCTGGATTCCCTGTGTTTCCAGCTCTTATCTGTACCCATGTACATGCTCTGGTCTAGCCATATTTGTAATGGAGAATTGGGGTCATGATATTGTGTGGGGAGGGGAGGAAGCATTGAAGAACCAGAGGAAAATTGTACATTTCATCGGTGCTATACTGCACCCTGGCTGGCCCATCTCTTCCCCACGACCCTTCTGTAAGAGGATGTTCAATTGCCTACAGATTGGCTTTGAGTCTCAACTCCACACTCTCCCCCTCCTCCACCCCCATCCCCATTCACAATGACATGATTTTTTGTTCTGGGTCTTTGATGCCTGATACCTGATCCCATTGACACCTCATGATCACACAAGCTGGTGTGCTTCTTCCATGTGAACCTTGTTGCTTCTCAGCTAGATGGCTGCCTGTTTATCTTCAAGCCCTTAAGAACCCAGATGCTTTATCTTTTTATAGCCAGGCACCATCAGCTTTCTTCACCACATTTGCTTATGCACCCATTTTGTCCTCAGTGATCGTATCGGGAAGATGAGCATCTCAGAATGCCAGATTAGAACAAAGTGTTCTTTCCTTGAGGGAGTACTTGAGTAGAGGCCCAATGCCTGTCTGCTTCCTTAACACTAAACCTATAAATATATGCACATAGATCTATTTCCCTATCATCATATATAAATATATTTACATATGTACATGCCTGTATTTAGACCTTTATAAATGCCCTTTGCCTCCTAGCTCTTTCCTTTATTTCCTTTACTTTCCTCTCGTCCCACTATCATGTTCAGCCTTCATTGGGATTTCAGTAATTCCCCTTGGCTACATTGCCCTTGATCCAGCCCCACCAAGCCTCCTACATTCTGCTTGCCATCAATTTTAGGTCACTTGTTGTCCCCTTGTCCCTGGGTTTGCTAACACCCACCTCTTTTCCCACATCTCTCCTTCTCCCATGCCCCCCCCCCAACGAACCAACAGTGCCATTGTGTTCTCCTCCATATTGTTTATCTAGATATACATGCAGAGTTAATAATATGCACAAAAATAAGACAGAGCAAAACAAAGCAACAAAAGAAAATAAAACATTAACAACAACAACACTTGAAATTAAAGGACTTGATGAGTATATTTGTCAAGTCAATTTTTAATCTTGGATTGAGACAAATACTGCCCTCCTTATTTTTTTCCCAGAAATTTGAACTATTTGTAGAAGTTGTTTTTGTCTAAAGGTAAACTTGTCTTTAGATAATCTATAATTCATGCCTTCTAATCAATGATTTAATACCATTCCAGCCTTATCTAAAGTCTTACTGTAAACTTGAGTTGTCATCTTGACAGTGATTGGTCCCTAGATCAATTCCTTTCGTCAAGCCTTCTTTAATCAAGTTTGTGGCACGTGGCCACATGTGCCTGCCCTTCTGAAGATGTAACTGTTCTTTCAATAAATCTACTTGTAACCACCATCTTTGGTAACAATTAGTGCTCCTTGAATTGTTGAAACATAAAGGAATTGGCCTACAATGCCAAATCAAGTTTAATGAAAACTAATTTAAATATCAAAATTATACCTCTTATGTATTCACATTATTAAAAAGACACTATCAAAGAGAAAGTAGACTTTATTACACTATAAAAACTGAGCTGTGTGGGTGGGGTTTGATCAAGTGCAAGGTATCCAAGAGGAATTACTGAAAGCTGAATAAAGGTTGAACATGATAGTGGAACAAGAGGAAAGAAAAAGGAAAAGAGGAAAGAACTAAGAGGCAATGGACATTTATACAGGTCTAAATACAGGCATGTACATATGTAAATATATGCATATAGAATGATAGGGAAATAGATCTCTGCACATATATTTATATGTTAAGTATTAAGGTAGCAGGCAGACACTGGGCCTCTACTCAAGTACTCCCTCAATGCAAGAAAACTTTGTTCTAATAACCCAGAATTCTGTGATAGTCACCTTCCCTGACATGATCTCTGAAGATAAAAATAAGTGCATAAGCATATGTGGTGAAGAAAACTGATGGTGCCCCTCTCAAAATATATAACATCTTTTGAGAGGGGCATCTAGCTGAGAAACAGCAAATCCCACATTGATGAAGCACACCAGCCTGTGTGATCGTGAGCTGTCGATGAAATCAGGCATCAGGCATCAAAGACCCAGAACAAAAAATCATATCGATGTGAATGAGGGGAGGGCAGAGTGTAGACAGAGTGCAGTGTCCATCTGTAGACAATTGAACATCCTCTTACAGAAGGGTCACAAGGAAGAGACGAGCCAGTCATTGTGCAGTACAGCACTGAGGAAGCATACAACTTTCCTCTAGTTCTTTAATGCCCCCCCCCACCCCATGATCATGATCCCAATTCTACTTTACAAATCCAGCTAGACCATACACAGCTATAGATAAGATCTCACCACATAGGGAAATCCAGGACAGATAAACCCCTGAGAACCAATAATGAGAGTAGCACTATCAGGAGAGGAAAGAGAAGGTGGGCTGTGGGGGGTGGGGAAAGGGGGAACTGGTCACAATGATCCACACGTAACCCCCTCCCAGAGGGACAGACAGCAGAAAAGTGGGTGGAGGGAGACAGCACTCAGTGCAAGACATGAAAAAAATAATCATTTATAAATTATCAAGGGATCATGAGGAAGGTGGGGGGCAGAGAATGAGCTGACACCAAGGGCTCAAGTAGAAAGAAAATGTTTTGAAAACAATGATGGCAACATATCTGCAAATGTGCCTGACACAGTGGATGGATGATGGATTGTGATAAGCACTATAAGAGTCCTCCATAAAATGATTTTTTTAAGGAGCTGTGATACAACTCTACTATAGGGTCTTGGACAAGAGAGGAAAAAATTAAAAAGGGATACATCTGTCTAAATCCAAGGTAAAAAATAATTTGACAAATATAGTCATCAATATTTACTAAAAGATAGAAACTACTTAACTATTATTCCACAGTTCCATGCCTGGGCCCTCCCTATACATGTTCTAAAAAGAAAAAGAAAAAAAAAACTACACAGTGCACAATGCGGGCCCATCACAATTGTTAGTTAAATGTACATCTATCAGGTGGGTCATACTAGATACATGGATCATGGCTTTTCCATCAACATATACGTTACAGGATTTCATATGAATCTGGATAGCAGTCTTACGGTTATTGCTCACTTGCTCTGCCTTTCTAATACATTATTCATTTCCATTATTCTTATAGATCCCGTGTGGGGAGTGACCTCTGATGACCTATCCTTAGTGATTCCGCCAAGCTTTGGGGAAGAGAATTAGGATACTCCCTGTCTTTTTCCAGCTCCAGTGCTTTTGTGCAGTGATCATTGTAATACATTTAACATGAAAATAAATGGAAATACAATGTAAACCTGAGAAATGCTACAAGAATGGTCTCTGTTGGTCTTCAGCACTGCGTCTGTTTCTTTCACTAAAAGTTGCAGTAGGCAGCGCACACCTCATGACCCCTGCTTTCTCCAATGTTCTGCTGCCGTTCTATAAAAGATTCACAACATTAAGCATCCACTTTACAATTCCCAATACACTAAACTCCATTCCCTAGTTGCTTCTTGAGTTTAGTAGGCCCCATTAAGGAGAAGCTTTGGATAGCTCTTTGTTTTTAAAAAGAAAGCTCTTGAGAATACTATCTTGCTCCCAGCTGCAAGCTGAATGACATTCATCAAGTAACATCTGCCTTGTAAAAAGAAAATATTTATCTTCATGAATGCATTTTGTTTGTGTTGAAAATGTCTCCTTTGAACAACTTATTGAATTAAAATTCTTAAAATACTATGATTCTTCAGGTTATCTCAATATATAAAATCTATATATGACAAGCCTTTTATGGGCTTTTTGTTGCTGTTGTTGAATGGAAATGGAATTATTCTCGTGCAACATAGTCTGGCTTTGGAATAAAGGTCATATTGTCAGAATAAATGCCTTCCTAATGCAAAATAGGAACAAAAGAAAACCTTCCACATGTATAGTTATTTGCATCAAATAGTTTGAATTAAAATTTTGTTAAATGTAGACTTAAATGTTAGAGATGAAGCATATTTAAAGACTGACATAACTGGAATCAAATTAACTAAAGCCACTTATTTTTATTTCTCAATATCTCAAGTCCCAGCATAGGCATTTCATTCAGTGTCAAGGAGATTGACTGCTAGGTATTGGAAAATAAATTACCTGCACCGCCCCGCCCCCCCCCCACCCCAATGCTTCTGTAGAGGAAAGTAGGGCTCACTTTCTACAAAGATTACAAAATGGATAATTCACCTCAAATAAGATTAATGAACATACCATGAAGGCAAAAAGTAAGCAACTATACAAAACAAACAAATAAACACAATCCCTAGCCAAGAGTCAATTTAGAGTCACAGTGACCCTCCAGGACTTCCTCTCTGCATTTCCAAGAGCGTAACTTTTTACGAGAGTAGAATGGTTCACCTTTCTCCTACTGAGTGGCTGGTGGTTTGGAACTGCTGACCTTGTGGTTATTAGCTCAATGTGTAACCAAAAGGCTACCAGGGATCCTATACAGAATTAAAATACAAGCTATAGCTTATAGACTTTTTTATAGATACTTTCACTTACAAAAATTTACCTTACTGACACTTCATACCACCTTTTAAAAGTAGATGTTATTTAAAATTTTGAGACTGGGGTTCAAATAAAGTGAAAGAGTGCTCCCAGGGCACCGAGTAAGGAAAGACCAAAACAGACTTAGCTTCCTGCTCCAGAGTTCCATGGAAAGTGTCCTTCCATAGTGCAAGTAGTCAGTGGGGTCACTGGTCTATTCAAGTCCGCTCAGAATCACCTAGAATAAAGGCCTTGAGACCGACTTCTGAAAAACCAACCATTGAAGGTCCTGTGGTGCACAGTTAGACGCTGACACACGAGTCAGAACTGACTTACAAGTTTGCTTTGTAAGCTCCATGGAAAGTCGTGGGAATACTAGTAGAGTTTATTCCTAATCAAGTTATAGGAACACAATATAGTATATCTTCCTCTTGAATAGTAACAATATTCTGTATAGAATTCAACAGTACTCAAATTATCTAACCACATATCTTATTATAACCCAGAGTTATTTCTCTGTGAAATTAATCCTAGAAGCTTTTCCTCTGTACTTATTTGAAAAGTAGCCTTTCACATTGTTCATTAACTACTGCAAACTAGTTCATTTTGGTCGAGAATTTTTATTCATGATCCTGAAGAACTGTATTTCTGGGTCATTAATTATTCAGTAACTATTATATGGTTGGATAAAGTACTATTTTCAAGGTTCTGATAATTATGTTTTCCAGAAAACTCTGAATAATACATACCATTTTTTGTCTTACATTAAGAATTACTGGCCCGGGTCACAGGAGCAGGGCTGTATACCTTCTGCTTCTAGGCACTGCATTTGTCCCAGGTGCTCAGAGAATATTGCTCTGTGGGATGTGACCACGGCTATTTGTCAGTTCTTCCTTCAACACTGATGCTACTTTGGGGACTGGTACTGGAACACCCTGGAACCAGGGTGCAGGCATGGGCTTGCAGCAGCCTCACAACAGCCTTCTATTAAAGTGACAGACATGTATAGACTGCCCTGGACCAGATGTACTCCAATGTCATCCAGCCATTCTCCAAATTTGCACCTTGGGGGTGCAACGGAGATCAAGGAAAGCCACCATTAGGATCTTTTCTGTGTGGAGCCTCAGCCAACAGTACCATCAGGGAAGTAGTCTCTCAGAACACATCACGTCACTTAGCACTGTTGAGCAGAAATATGAAAAGAAACTTTTGAAAGGAATTGTGAAAGATACTGAAGATGGTGCATCCTCAGAGCTGTACCTGTTTTCTACTTACTCACCCATGAGAGACAAACCTAATATTTCAGGGCCTAAGGGTTCTCTGGGACAACATCAAAAGAAATAATATCCACATAATAGGAATTCCAGAGAGAGAAGAGAGAAAAAGTCCAGCAGATCTTTTTGAAGACATAATCTCAGAAATTTTCCCAAATATGAAAGATTAGATTATCATCCAAGATGTTCAACAAACTCCATATAGGTTAAACCCCAAGAGAATACCCCAAGACATTTCATAATCGAACTTATCATATAGAATGATAAAGACTTTTGAGAGCAGCACAATGTAAGAGAAATGTCGCTTACAAAGGGACATCAATAAGATTAAGTAGTGATTCCCCATTAGCAACTATGCAGGCAAGAAGGCAATGGGGTGACATATACAAAGCCTGGAAAGACACTAGCTGTCAACAAGAAATAATATACCCAGAAAAATTATCATTTAAAAACTAGGGTGAAATTAGGATTTTCCCAGACAAACAGAAATTAAGGGAATCTTCATTTAATCTTAACCAGTAGACAAGCCCTGCAAGAAATATTCAATGAAGTTCTCTAGGAAGAAAGCATGACACTAGCCCAACAACCCAAAGTGCTGAAACTGAAAAATAACCTGAATAAATATAATAAAATAAATTTACAATGAGATTATAGGAACCTGGGCTACACAATTGTAATTCACAACATAAAAATAAAATGGAGATGATTGGTATAGATAAGATAACTTTCATGTGTTAAAAGTAACCTAAGTGATTCGGTGATTAAAATTATTATACACAAATACATAATGAAAGAAAATATATTCCTATAAAGAACTCAGCTCTGAAGATAGAGAACAAAGAAGTCATTGCGCCCGGTGGGAGAGTATGGAGAATATTGAACACAATGTTTAAAGTCAGTTCCTCTCTATTGATAATAAGTTGCAGTGAATACAAATAGATTTATTATTCTAGTCCATAAACATTAGTAAACGGGACTAAAATAAGGCATGTCTATATGTTATCTATAAGGGATACACCTTAGGCACAGGTGGATAAATAAATTAAAGTGGGGGTGGGACACATTTGACATAACAAGCAGTAATCCAAAGTGACAGGAGTGGCAATATTGACACATGACAATAAGCTTTAAGTTAAACTTTATGAAGAGACAGAGGACATTATATGTGACACTTTTTGATGATGAATGGAACAATTTTAAAATTGAATAAAGCAACAGAAGACCTGTGTAATATTAACCCTTTGGACCTCAGAGACTTCAAGCACACTGCTTAAAAGCAGCATAGTGCACTCTCTTCTTCATTGCATGTGTTTGGTGCAGGCTATTTTCAGACACAGAGCAAATTTCAGCAAGTTTAAAATGATGGAAATGATAGAAGTGCCTCATCTGACTACAAGGGGGTACACAAAAAACGGAATATATATATTTTTCATATCTATATATTTAAATATTTTACAGAGCAATCTTATTTTCATCAAGGTATTCGCCATCACACTTAATACATTTGTCAAATCTGTAATTCCATTCTTGGAAACATTTTTCAAATTCATCTGTTTGGATGGCTGACAGCACCTCCCTCATTTTTTACTTCACTTCTTCTAAGTCGTCAAATTGCTGTCCTTTCATGTCCTACTTCATTCACGGAAACAAAAAGACATTCACAGAATGAGGGCAAGTGAGTAAAGTACGTGGGGCAATAAAGGCAGCGGTGTTTTGCCAAAAACTGGCACACTGAGATGGCTGTGTGAGCAGGGGCATTGTCATGGTGGCAAAACCATTCCCCAGTCTGCCACAAGTCAGGCCTTTTTTGTCACACAATGTTGCACATTCTTTTCAGAACCCCTAAATAGAAAGCTTGACAGTCTGACCTGGTGGAATGAACTCCAAATGCCCTATCCCCCTCACATCACAAAAAGAAATGAGCATAGGTTTTGATCTTTGATTTCATTCAGTTGACAAGCGTTTGGGGGGTAGAGGGAAGGTAACCATGGTGTCTTCCACTGGCTTGATTGTGTTTGCTTTTGGGGTCATAGCACCATGTCTCTTCACCATTAATGACCTTGGGGGAAATGTCTGGGTCACTTTGGAGCTGTTTTTTCAAAGCACAGCACGTTTCTACTCAATGCCCCTTTTCCTGATCAGTCAGAACCTGAGGAGTGACCTTTCTCATTCCCAAATCTTCCATTAAAATTAAGGTGAGCAGACATTCCGCTTTTGGCAGGCCAGTCTCAATTTTTAACAATCTTTCCCGCATCCCACAGCATTTTATAAAAGTCCCGATTTTTGGAAAGAGTGCACAACAAGCTAGGGTATACGGTTTTCGGCTGCCATGTGGCTATTTCGCCAGGATATGAGTTTTATCAATGGTGTCCCGCTTTACCAATGTTAAAATCTGGTCACCTTAAAATGATTTAATTATGGAAACTACTAAAAAACAAAGAAAGAAAGAAACCCAATTTGACCTACGGTTACCATGGGTGCAGGAGAAAGAGTGTTTGTTTTGCTTCGGGGACATTGAGTTCATTTTAA